TAGAAGGTCCTGTGGTAAAACCTCGGACTCACCGACTGCTGGCAGAACTTGAAAAAGCCCTCTGAAATTGAGTCAAAGTTCTCACAAGTTGCGAGAAAACCGTCCGCGGCAAGAACCACAGAAATGAGTATGATTTCACCACAACAGCCTAGTGCTACGGAACATCTAGCTGGACACTGTAGGAGCCGATAGAAGCTAGGTACCACCGCATTCCAGGGGTATCAAATCCGGGAGGAGCACAAGTAGGGTCACTCCACTCAACGAAGTTGAGCAGGGCGCAGCCTTGACTGCATAGATACGTGAGGGGGAATTTCCGACGATATCAGAAGCGGCCAATTATAGCCTAGTGTCCGCAGTCGGACATGTTCGTTTGAAAACTAAGCTGATTGACCTGAAAAGTGATATTTCAATGATATGATGGATGCAGGACGCACGGTCAATGAGTCAATTGTTATTGGAACGATGATAGTAAAGGGAATTAGTAGGGTGGCATGGGGATGATATCAGATGTGGCTGCCATGGTCGTGGGGAGTAACCTCTTCGAAGGACGGTTTGTCCATTTACAGAATTGATTTTGTATCGAAAATTATCTTTTATATTTAGATTTTGCTATTTATTTTTATTTGCTGTCAGCACCGATATCGTACCAGTAGATGAAGTTGAACAACGTCGCATGTGGCAAGGCAGTCTTCGCTGAACGTACGTGTTCGGTTCGGTATCGTTTCTTACCTGGAAGCTTTTTCTATCTGTCCTGGTATTAAATCAGCCTATACAATACTCCACCAGTACACACATCAATCATGGATCCTGCCTCAAGTGCTAACTCTGTGCTTCACAAGAAGCATGATGACGATTCTGACAAGGCTAATGACAAGCGGGATGTCAAGCCAGTCGTGAAGACCCTTAATCGTGTTCCCCGTATGTTCAATTAAGTTCTTCATGTATTAGATCTCCCCACTGACTCGATACAGGCGCCTGTGTGAGCACGCTCCGGCTTTCCAAGTCCCCGATGCATGCTGACTTATGCCATTAAATGAACAGAATGCTTGTCGGAAGCAGAAGATGCGCTGCGAGGGTGCAGATAATCCACCATGTAGACGTTGTCGTCATGCAGGACTCGAGTGTCTATTCGAAAAGCCTACCAGAGAAGCAACTCTCACGGGCGAGGCAGGACTTGAGTCAGTCAATTTCGCTCTATGATTTGTCGTGATTTTTTACTCACAGCATTGTAGGCGTATACGAAGTCTAGAAGCTCATGTTGCTGAGATACGTTTCACTCAATCGTCGATACAGACTACTCTTCTCGAGATCGTCGGCCACCTTCGAGGCGCTACGCCGTATAATAACCGCTCTCCCTCGACGTTCTCACAGGCGCCCTACAATACACAGTCGCCAACAATGCAATCCATGGGATCTTCCCCAATGTCTTCTGGCCCAAACGGGTCCCATGTGGGTGAACCAAGCATTCACAGCGTACAGGCAGGGCCTACCACCCCCACAGTCTATCATCCCAACCTCAACCATGGATCTCTTCCACCGATGTTAAACGCCCCACCGCGTCATTCGAGGAGCTCTGTATCCCATGGTGCATTGGTATCGGTTGGGCAACCTTCTGGTCATGGAGAATACCACCCACCACAACTTCCTCCCTCAAATACAAATCCGACTTCACCGACCCAATCGTATGGTTATTCCCCTTCTGGGCAAGTTTTACCCCCATTTTCCACGTTACAAGAGATCGGTCGTACAACCTCACAAGTATCTATACCTGGTCGTCATGAATCACATCACCATAGGCAAATACAGCGTGGCCACAATGTGCATTCACCTTCAGGATCTAAACGCACTGCCCCATCCTCGTCCAATCCCACCAGCGCGGACTCGACAGATATTGATGATGACAATGGAGAACTACCAGCTTCTGGCCTAGTAGCACCATGGGAAGTTCTAAGAGGTCTAGCCGACGTGGCTATTGAGCGAGCTGCCAAGGTTAGTGGTTTTACCGTTGTACACCCACTGTGCGTGAACTCCTATCACATAGGAAAATGGCGAAGGAAGCAGTGAACCACAGAGCAGAACCAGAACGCCGTCTCCTGAGCGAAAATCTAGGCCAATGAAGAGGCGAAAGATCCGTCATCGGTCCTTCCGTGGTTTGACTTTCCCGGATGGTAATGTCTTCTTATCCACTTGTACAACTGATTCTCAACATTTAAATGGGCAGTTGTCACAACGAACATCATCTCAGAACAAGAAGCCCGTGAACTGTTCAGAATGTGGTTTTATTTCTAGCCTCTTTTCTTCATGCTACGTACTAATGCCGTTATACAGATTTTATGCCGGATGTTCCACATTTCTCCCAGTATTCGATTGCCAGGTGGACACGTTCGAACAGCTCCATGAGCGGTCACCGTTCGCTGTCGACGCCATTTGCACAGTTGCTGCCCGCGTGAGGGACGGTGGAGGTAACTTGCTGACATTATTTTATTATTAGCTTATCTTATTATCTATCAGGAAACGCAAGCGAGACTTACACCCGATGCTTGGAAGCAGTCCAAAATATTTCGTGCGCCACGTTGTTTGCTCCGGTAAGCCGCGTAGAAGCCGTGCAAGCGATGAGTGAGTGCGCTTTCTGTGACATCCAAATTGAATTAATCGTATGAAAGTTCTTGTGTCCGGGTGGTCGGATAACGGTTGGCTCAGTGGCGGTCACGCAGTTCGCATGGCCATGGAACTTTGTAAGAAAAACATTCACTGCAAAAACGAATATCTGAGCGTTTTATTCTTTTTAGCACTTCACAAAGCTTGGCCAAAACTTCTGAGGCGCATGCAAAACAAAACAAAAACTACTATTGACGGTTCGGAAGACCGCGACCTCGTTGTTGCATCCCGAACTTGGTTTTGTCTGTATCTCTTCGAGCATCAGTGCGTTTACGGACGGCTTTAAGCACATTTCCCGCTCACTGATTGCATACCAAAGATTATCCTATGGTACAGGACGTCCAGCAATTCTAAAGGATGATGAAAGCATATGGCAATGTCGTTTGCTTCTACAGCACCCTTTAGCAATTGAGGATGATATGCGCTTAGTTTCGACTGTTGAGCTTATGGCTATCCGCGAAAGAGTCCACAACAAGCTGTCACCTTTTGAACGGCCTGTCGATGAAGGCACTTTTGGAGTCATTCAACAAGCTGACTCTGAGTTCCGAAATTGGTATAAAACTTGGGACCATGCTTTTTCGCAGAAGTATGAAGATGCAGGTGCGATCCAACTGTCAGGAACCACCTCTCACTTGCCCTCCTGACTCTTCGTCAAGCGTTTTACCGCCAAAGTTTGCAGATCCAACAACTGCATGCAGAGCTGTTCCACAATGCGACTGCCTTACGTGGTATCAATGGTCCAGAGGATGTTCAGAAGATGCCAGCCGCCCAAAGAGAATTGGCAATACGTTCAATACGCACTGCTCGCCAGGGCCTTGAAATCACAGTCAACTCGCCGTCGTATAGCGAAGGCATGAAATATGGTTGGCTTGTTATTTTATCTTGTCAGCATCCCCAAGCTCACGTGAAATAGCCGTTCACTATACACATGCAACTGCAACATTTGCAGCATCGTTCTTGCTGCGATTAGCACGTCTTTTGTAAGTTGCGCGCGATGCAAGCGGTGAATAATGCACTCACGCCATCTCAGCCCGACTGATTGTGATATGCAAGAAATACGGTCGCAGGTCGAACGTCTCGCTGGCTTAATGTCTCAAAGTGAGTCCTGTTGTATCTTACTGTTAAAATACACACATCAACTGCTTCTTTGGCAGTCCCTGGCAAGCGCTATGCCATCACGCTTCAGCTGATGCTGAAAAGAGCTAAGAGGCGTAAGGCGGCATCAAGCTCCCGCTCCCCCAAGATACCTAGGGAGCCCCCTCGAAACATGTCTATGGTGATTGACATGCAGCAGAATGTGCACACGAGCCCTGAGAATTTTTCTCAAAAGTATGAAATCGCGTATTCGAGTCCTGAAGCCGTGCAGCAGCAGATGCAAATGGGCATGATGCCGCAGCAGACCGCCGAGGTCGACAACATCTGGCGTGGCTTTGAAATGACATCGAACGAACAACTTCCAGTGTGGATCTCTGATCAGAGCCTGGGTGGTAACTCATTCTCCCAGCAAGGCATGGATGCATTTTTGCTGCCTGCTGACTACCTACCTCCTGCCCCTCAGATCTGGTAGTGGTTCTCACGGTCTACCGACGTGCTGTTTTTATGGTTGTTGTGATTCTTTATAGGTTTTTGTCTATATGTTGTACGATTGTAAGTTCCTATTCTGTTTTCGCGTGGTTATATATATTTCCAGTATTCTTGTATAGCTCTTTCATCGCTACTCAATCGATCGGTGTGCTTTTGGACGACTATCCCCGGCTCAGGCTGGACTGAATTGAAAGTAAGATGTGGGACATGGAAATTCGAGTGGGGTGCATTCACGACCATCGGACTGGATCAGAATGTTTGAAGGGTATAAATGCAGAAGTCCCTGATGCACGGTCTTCACAACCACTTTTCGTGTATATAATGTACCCCACTGTTACTCCAGAAGCGCGCAGGCGACCCGTATGTCATGAACGACTCCCCCATCTTGCTGGCATTGGCCTTGCGAGAGATTCGCCTCGATCCTCACAGCAGTCGACTGCTAGCTCAACTTTGCAGCCCACTGATGAGGCGATATCAGTTTTCTCATCTCAGCACACCAAGGCCAGGGAGGAAGTTGCTGCTGCCGAAATCAGCCGTACCTTCAGCGCATTGGAAGACGGAAGAACTCCGCCCAAGCGAAGGCGCTCCGTCATGGACAAGCTAGTCCCTTTCAGTCGACGTCCGCAAGAAGCGCTTGATGAAGAGATTTTCAGTGATATCAAGACCTCTAATCCGGCGAGCCGGAAAACAAGGGTGTCCTCGATCAGCGGGGATACCAGCACTGAAGCCAAGCAACCCAAGCGGCCTTTGGGAGGGGGAGGTCCAAACAGCTTCTATCAGGGAGCCAAGCTTCGTGCCAGCGTGATCAAGAGCAAGCGGCCTTCCGCGATAACAAAACACGTTCAAGGTGAGTCTCGGAAGAGTATTATACCTGCCAACCAATGACGGTCTCGTGTAGATATCGATAAGCGTCGTGCTTTCATGCTCAAGCTCGCCAAGTGCTTGCTCGCTTTTGGTGCTCCATCCCATCGGATCGAGTCGCAGTTGGCTACTGCTTCCCAGATCCTTGATGCGAAAGCCTCATTCGTCCATATACCGAATATCATCATCGTTACATTTGGTGATGAAGACATGACATCCGTGGAGACTCATTTCGTGAAAGCGAATGGACGAATTGCGCTTACCGCGTTGCAAGGAGTCCATATTGTCTATCGCAAGGTTCTTCATGACAAGATGACCGTCGAAGAAGGCACCAGGCGATTGGCTTCCATACTCTCCGCTCCCCCGATATATTCGTTATTGGTACGCTGCTTTTTAGCCTTCGTATGCGGTTCTACTATATGCGTCCTTGCATTCGGGGGATCGGTCATTGATATGGGGATCAGCGGAGTGTGTGCCTTCGTCTTGCAGTACCTAGGCCTTAACACTGCGACAAAGAGCGCGACGTACGCGAATGTCTACGAGTAAGCGATCTTTCCCTCTGTATTCGCTTAGTTTAACAGATTGATTAGGATATCAATCGCCATCATCGTGTCTTTCGTGGCCCGGGCACTCGGCACCATACCAGGCAGGTTGTTCTGCTACAACGCCATAGCATCTGCTGGGGTGGTGTTGATTCTCCCAGGATTTACTATCCGTAAGTTGCTGACTTGTGCTATCCACCACTCACTGCGACGATTTAGGTATTAGTCATCAGTGCACTAGAGCTCACTTCTAGAAATGTTCTATGTGGATCTGTAAGAATGGTCTATGCGATCATCTACACTTTGTTCCTGGTACGCCCTATTCGCAATTGTTTTTTGTAACTTCACTTCTCAAATCCACAACCAGGGGTTCGGCCTGACGATAGGCTCCGATCTTTATCTTGTGCTCAACAAACATGCCCGACATAATTTAGATAAGACCGAAGCAGAGAGATATACAATATATCACGGGACTTTTCACGCACAGAACGGCACGTCTCCCGTCCCAGGAGGGGCCATCTTCGGTTTTGCTCAAACCAATGACCCTCATATCGTTAATGGTATTAGATTTGATCGATTAGGTTTCAACTCACACTGACCCGACTTGAAAGGATGCTACAGGGAACCCAGTTGGCCATGGTGGAGAAAGGAACTTCCCTGGTGGACGCTCTTCTTCCTCGTACCAGCGTACTCTCTCTGCTCGTCTTTGTCCAACTTGCAGAGATTGCGCAGCTGGCAGCTTCTGGTTATGGTCCTATTTGCGTGCTGTGCTTTTGTCGCGAATCGACTCTCAAATAACTATCTTCCTGGCAAAAGCGACATCATTTCAGCTTGTGGGGCTTTGGTCATCGGGATCTTGGGCAACGTGTACTCGCGAGTCATGCGTGGAACCGCTTTTACGGCCATGGTCACCGGTGTCTTGTTCCTTGTCCCTGTAGGTCGTCCTGAAATATGCTTTGTTTGTGCATTCAACTAATATCGGACAGTCTGGTATTGGTCAAGGCGGCGGCCTGCTCTCCTCTGATGAGACATCGTCTACTCAGCAATACTCAGCTGGACTTCAGCTTGCCATACGGATAATAGAAGTGGCGATTGGAATAACAGTTGGTCTATTTGTGAGTCAGATCTTCGTATATGCCCTGGGAAGAAGAAAGAACGCTGCACACTTTGCTTTCTGATATCTTCCAATTAAACGCCATCTATCTATGTACACATATCATGCTGTAAACACTATCGCAGTAATTTGAATCGATGGCAGGCCAAAACGGAGAAGTGAGATTCGTGAATCAAGGTGTTCTAGGGATTACATGAAGTTTGTTACGAGTAGGGAATTAGTACAGGTATTCCAAGAGTGTTCCAAAAAACGAAGAAACATGAAAGGTTTAGATAAGTTACGCTGCGAAAAGCTGATTCAGCTCTTCCATGCGTCGTTGCAGCATGTCGGCTTTGCTGAAGTTCTGACCCAGAGTCATGTTGGCCAGCTCGGTCTTCTTGCGCTGTACTTCCAGAAGGCGGTCTTCGATGGAATTCTCGATGATGAGCTTGACCGTTGTTACAGGGCGTGTCTGCCCTAAGCGATGCTATAACGAAATAAAGTAGACTGCAACGAAAGACGTGAAAGGACTCACAATCCTGTCCACTGCTTGATTCTCAACTGCGGGATTCCTGCGAAAAGCTTGAGCAACACTTGAATCACAGGAATTATAAGGATGAAGTTACCAATATGGGTCCATCAAGTACACGCGTTGGGCGGCAGTCAAGTTTAAACCCACTCCTCCGGCCTTCAAACTGACTAGAAGGACTTCACATCCAGGGTCATGTTTTAATGCTTCCATGGCACGGGTACGGTCATCACGTTTCATTGTACCATCGAGACGATCATAGCGAATGCCAGCAGTCTCCAACGCGTCTTCGATCCTAAACTCGGGTAAGCCAATACACCACTTTGCGAAATTGTAATGACACACTTATCTAGCATTGTTGTCCATTGGGAGCTAGAATACAAAGATAAACTGTCGGATCCATCAAATGAGAATTAGACACATACAAGACAACAGTCTTGATTACGCCATCATCGAGTTTATTGCCTTCATTATCCACCATTTCCACCTCAATCGAATCGGGGTCGTAATTGACAGAATGCGGATTTGCCCGGGAGAATTGCATAAGGTCCCCGAGTAAGGCCTTGACTTTGGTGGACGGATGGAAGTTCTCAAGTGCAATACCTTTGGTTCGCTTTTCTCGCTTGGCCGGCTTTTTCTTGACGCTAAAGTCAACTGGCGAGCAATCAGGTCGGACTCGAACTGCATCTTGCGGTAAAAGACCAGTCTGGCAAGCCGAGCAAGAACGACGGATATCGGTAGGAACATCTGGCCAACCTGGGCATACACACTGACGGTAGCATCCCAGGCAAAACAGATGCTGACAGCGGGTGAGGACGAGTGACGGTGCTGATGGACTACTAGCTCGCGTAGGGGCACGGGAACCGGAACCTTTAGTCTTCCTTCCTCGCTTCGGTGCCGACGGACCATCCATATCCATGGCACCAATGTCCATCTGCCCCTGCTGATCAGAAGACATACACAGCTCTTCTCCACATTCAACGCATTGAGTTGTAGCTGCCTCCCGTAGCAAGGCAACGATCGCAGCTGCACGAGTAGGATTGAGACCTTCCTTCCCAATGGCAGCGGCAATGTCTTCGTAGCTGGTGAGGTCCATGTTCTGCATATCTCCTAGTGGTCCTTTACCCTCCACGAGCTCGAAGTGGTCGCAAATCTGTCGGAGACGTAAAATTTTCTGGAGGATGCCAACATAGTTCTTCATGACTTCATTTTTGTTGGAAAGCTCGTTGAACTCGGCTTTAGACTCCGAGAAGAATTGGTCGTAGATGGTCTGCTCATGCGGATCAAATTTCAAATACCGGAGTTCATCGCGACGTGGAGGGAGATGGAGTATTCGACGGCCATCAGAAGCCTTTGACTCCTTTGTTCGCCTCAAGGTAATGCACTTCATGATCGTCTGAAGACGTGCAACACCCAACGACTGCCCATACTTGACTGGAGTGCCAATGAACTCCGTCCAGATGTTCTTGTCATCAAAAGGCTCCAAGCGCAGGAACTTGATGAGTGCATACACATCATCGAGCTTGTTCTGAACGGGAGTCCCCGTGAGGCATAATCGGCGGTCTGCCATTAAATCGCAAGAGGCACGACTGCCAACGGTCTGGGTTTCCTTAATCGAACTGAATATAATGGTGTTAATCGTGATACACGAGGAAATTATGCAAGAACGTACTGAGCCTCATCAAGAACGACACGGAACCAATGTATAGTCTGCAGAGCACTAGACGCCTCAGACGCACCAAAGCTCGAACATGATTTTTTCCTCTTCATTCCTGCTCGTTTTTGTTTCGGCAATTTGAGCACTTGATTACCGCGTTCGTCAACGTCGACCCCGCCGTACCCATCACTGCTACCATCGTCGTCATCCTCGGCTTCTACATTCGCCATCTTCCGATTTTGCTTGGAGTATTCTGATGCTAAGGTCGCATACGTAGTAATGACAGCATCAAAGTCTGCAAGGAATGCTGCGTCTGGTCGTCGGGAATTTCCATGATATACGTAGACACGAAGAGGACGACCTTCGCGTTTTCGACGAGGTGGCTTCGTCTCCAATTTGGTCTCGGCCTGAGAAGATGGAGGGGAATTATTCTGTAAGGAAGACAACGTGGCGGCCGAACAACTCATCCCACCGCCACCGACCACAGTAACTTCTCCTCGCCAATGCTCGCGAAACTGATCTTCCCAATTCGACACGGTGGAAAGAGGGCATATAATCAATGTCGCCCTACTTTTCGCTTTGATACGACATGCTCTAGCGTATTCAGCTTCAGCCTTATCCTGGGCCTTTGCTGCCTTCCCTTTGCCCTTGGTGGAAAATGATGGCGAATCAACCTCCGGTATTCCCCACACACTCCCTGCGAAGTGAGCAGCAGTCAAGGGATCTTCCAACATACTCCGCTCCGGAGGAGGCGCGGGAGGAGGCGGTAAAGGCGTAGCAGCAAATGCGTGTGCCGAATCGAGTGTCGCTGCAATAAGGGAAACGCAAGTAATCGTCTTGCCAAGACCCATCTAATCGGGAGACAAGGCACGATTCGTCAGATAGGGTAGAGATAAAGGGCGTAGGGCAAACTGACATCATCAGCGAGAATAGCACCTTTGGCTTCTTGAGGTTCTTGAAAGACCTCTTTCTGCGTAACGATATGAAACCAGGATGATTGACCGGTATGAAGATCGTTCCGTGGCTGCCACAATGACGAGTAACGACCGTCTGCGCAGCGTTTCTCCCGCTCCCGCTCGAGTAAAAAAGTGACCGCCTTCTTTTGATGAGGATACAACGTGGTTCCTATGTCATTAGCTTTCGAAGCCAGTCAGATAAAGACGAGGACCGACGAAAACAAACACAACACTAACTAGGCTCTGTCTCTGCTAATTCGTCTCCACTTTTTAGACTCTTGAAAAGCTCATCAATTTGGCTTCGTTGTACTTCTAATGTTTTGCCAGAAACCATGGGGGCATTCCAACGAGGGCTATTTCCTCCTGGACCAGCATATCCAGATCTTGAAGGAAGCATAGAACGATGCCCCCCTGGTGGTGGAGCATGCGGGTTACAATAGTGATAGTTCATGAGGCGCGAGATATCATATGGGCCAGAGGGGTGGTCAAGCATCAGACCACATGATTGCAGATAATTGCCAACCACAGCGATATTGCCTTTCGGCGTATAAACCAGCATCTGGAGAGGTAGTATAGGAAGCTTGGCAGAGCGAATGAGCGAATGCGAGGTTCGTCAGGAAGAAAGGAATGTTGCTTACGTTTGGCGAACCACGCCGCACCTTTGCATCTAAGCGGATCAAGCCCTTACCTAGCATGGGGCCGAGATCTGTAGCGACCTTTTGTTCGACCACACCAAAAGCTTCCCCTTGAGAAGGTTCGCCCGACGATGTTTTGCTACTAGGCGTCTTGATATGTATCGTCTCAGTTGCACCTGCCCTCTGAGGATTGTGTTCATACTGCAAGCGGACGTTTGCCCACTCGATTTCATTAGGTGAGTCTTGGCCTTGCAGATAGGACACGGGGTATAGAACGAGTGCGGTAACTGTGAGTTGTCCTATGCAGACTGGAGTCTTGGGATGCAGATCATCAGGCAACGCAGAAGACATGGGTTGTTGGCGAGGCCGAGGACTAGGAGGAGGTGATGGAGAGTCGGTGAGATCAATGACCTGATGATTTGAAGGCGGAACAGATGAAGATGGTCGAGTTGGAACAAGAGGAGGTAAGGTGCGAGCACTGCCTGTAATTGGCAGTTGAGTAGACGTATTCCGTGGTGCTTGCGATGGACCAACAAAAACGGGACGATAGCTGGAAGATTGTAGGTGAAGCGGTGGTGGCGACGAATGAAAGGATGTCTGGTCAAGTGGTGAAAATATGCTGGGCTTCATTGGAGGAGAATGATACGCAAGCGGCAGTTGATTTGGAAGAGAGTATTTAGCATAAGATTGCTGGTGTTCAGCTGAATGCACTGGATCATAAAACATACTCTGCCTGGGCGGAGGGGAATGATAATCGGTTGTTGGGCGCTTCAGGCTGCCAGAATTGAAAACGCTCTCAGAAGAATTGGGTTCATCGTCATCTAGGGTAAGGTCAATATGATTTGACTGGCTATATGAGTCAAGTGATAAAGTCTGAATGTTAGGCGATGATCCCGATGGTGCATGCGTCGCCATTGTGCATGACAATGAGGAAGAGAGCGTTCCGGACGTCACGGACGACGAGTAAAACAGTAAGCGCGAAAGAAGCTGTCCAGTTTAAAGATCATGTCGCAAGAACACGTGACCATGATCGATTCAGTTATTCTTTCTCACGCTCACCATGCCTCGGGCTATCAGTCAGCCGCCGGTATCTTCCGTACTTCCTGACGCGAACAAGATAATAATTAGACTCCATCCACCGTGGTCACGTTGGTTCCTACTATGTAATGCTCGTACAGATAACTCTTCTGTACTTGATTTAGCGTAGTCCGTCCACGGCAAAAACTATGGAGAAGAATCGATACCTGTTCGCCACTCCGTTCCTACAAAACTGCCGGAACACAGGACGTCAGACAAGTCATATATCTTATAATAGTGCTGTTCGGGCACACAGCCATATGCTCCGGTAAGAGTCCGTGGTTGGAACTTGCCCGAATAGCACTGCTATGAGAAACGCCTAGTACCCCTGCATCTGATGGCGTTAACCTCCTGTAAAAAGATGGCAACTAAGGTCGAACGTCAACCAAACAAGGATAATCACACTTACGAGGTGCCCATCCCATCTCGTAGTAAGCCTGTCTTGCAGCTTGTTCTTTAGCTTGCTGCTTAGTGTCGCTGCATCCTTTACCCTTCTCGATCCCATCAACTAGTCCCACAATTAATTATTAAACGCTATTTCAACATACAAGATGACGTTACACGTGCTCACCAACGCAAGTCACGTTCCATTTTCCGGCATGGGGAGGACCCACTAGTGACGCTGGGTAACTGACGCTCACACCACGTTGATGAGCTGTTTGATTGAACAGTGGTAGGAATGCAAGGTGAGGTTGAGCAGGGGCCAGCGGATTTGGAGGTGAGATCCTTGGGAGAGACGGCGGTCGAGCCAGAGTTGGCCGCAAACTTGAATACGGATTATAATGGGTAGGTTGAGGTAATTGCGAAAAAATGGTCCGCGGGTGTATAAGTGGTGGTGGCAGCGGTTGTACCGAGAAACGTGTTTGTGGGGGCGGCTGGTGAGGCGAAAAACGTGACGGCAGTTGGTAAACTGGTGGAGGAGGAAATGACGGTAACGGTGGTGGAGGAGCAGAAGGCTCCTCTACTTTAATTCGTTTTGAGGTGGGAGCAGGTGACGAGGGTTTCGAAGTTATCGATGCAATATCAACATCCATATCGTGATTGTCGTTCAGTATCGTAGTGGACAGCCGAAGGAGGCCGCCTATCCACTCGTGCACTGTCTGAAGCCCGTGCTCGAGGAACACGGCTCCCAGATAGGCATTGAATATTAGGCGCCCTTCCTGGACCTGGATCAGAATTGAATGATGTGCATGAGAAACAAGTGAGTACCTCGGGAGTCTGGAGTGATTGTAGACACCTGGGGTCACAACGAAGCTCCTCTCGCAGCCGGTATAGTTTTGACCAGATATCAATCGTTTCGTCAGTCAAGAGTTGTGCTCGTTGTACCTACTCCAAAGTAGAAGCTATCGTGAACATTCAGAAAACATATGACTCACCTCAATTTGATGCACTGTAAGCTTGGGTTTTCGGAAGAAAAGTAGTTGCGTTGTCATCATCTCTAAAATATTGTGGCCAAGGACTGCCAATCGCTCGTTGTCACGAAACTGTGCATTGCACGCCAGTCGGAGAGATCTGTGAGTGAAGACTTCAAGAATAATATGCCCTGTAAGCTTTGGAAGGTCAGGTAGCTCCTCTGGCATTGCATCGATGGTCTGTGAACGATTTCGTTTGAGGGTATTATGTGGCATTCCGAGGCCAGGTTCAGGTGTTGATTCCATGGCGAAAAGTGCAACACTGTGGCCGCGAAGACGAGGAGGCAGAGACATTAATAATTATTAGATGTGCAATGTTTGTCCGAGGTGAATCGAAAAAGATCTTCGTGGCTCAAGATGGTGGTTGTGTTGCGTGGTCAGAGTGGGTCCACAACCTATATTTAGTTAGCTCCGGTAGTCAGCTGATGAATGTTGAGAGCTTTCTAATGTGTTGACTCCAATACAGGGGGACTTCGAACTGTTGCTCCCTTCCCTTGCTTTCAAGTCCACCTTTGCATGCTTATTCCCAATGGCTACCTCAAGCACTTCCAATAATCAACACACGAAATATATTCGTAGACGAGTCCAAGTATCTAAAAGTAAGTCTACTACTAGAGTCTAGGAGGTGGGAATCGTCTCGCCAGCTCGCGCATTTCGGTAGTTATATGACAGCATGTAAAGTATGGGAAAAATCTGAATTCTTCACTAGCCCAACATCGAAGGGCCATCGAACCCACTGTAACGAGTTGCTTCTTCAGCTTGCTTCCGCCGCTGGCGTCTAAGCTGTTTCTTAAGACTAAGCACTGTAGCCTGTTGAGAAGGGTCCTGCTCCAACCGTAGGATATGTGTTGTAATACTGTAGGGTGAACGTCAGGAAGTTACATATACTACAAGGCAGGACACATCACCTGCGAGGGCCAAGTGCGATGACGGGACAATCTTTCAAATGGTGATACGGACCTTCACAAACTGGGCATTGCGAGTTTGATCTATGCTTCTTGGAGGAGGATGACTCAGCCACAGGCACAGGTGACGGCCTTCGTTTCGATGGCAGAGCGGATGGCTCAGCAGTTCTACTCTTCCTCTCACTGTCTTTATCCGTGACGGAAAACAGTGTCATCTGTCGCCCAGATTTCTTAGCCTCGCCTGCAGGTCTGGAAGACGATACTACGGAAGGCTTGGTGGAGGAAGATTCGAGCGGGGCGATAGAAGAAGAGGTGGATGACTTGGATGATGCGACTGTCTTCGGTTGCTGAACACCTAATGAATCACGAGCACGTTTCTTTTTTTGCTTGACATAAGCCTGGTTGCTGTTGCCGTTTGCGACAAGTTTGAGCGGCTGACCAGCAAGAAGATGGCCATGCCCCCTTTTAACAAGCGTCTTCTCTATGGCATCGATAGCAGCTATCTGAAATAGGCGTGAGTATCTTGATGAGGCCATGTGAAGCGACATTCATACCCTGACTGCCCATGGCTCATCCGACTCATGGTTCATCAGTATTTCCCTGTACTCCACAAGATTGGTGGAGTCTTCGGTCATGTAGCAGATCCCCTTTCCATGGCGCGTGTCACAAAGACCGCAAGGCAGGTTATCCTCATCTTCTTTTGCCAAGGCCTGTTCTCGATACTTGGCCCTGGCCTTGACTTTCATCTTCGGCTTGTGAGAGGTCGGTAAGAGTTCGTCAACCATGTCCATGTCCATGTTCATTGAGCTAGCACCCGAATCACTTGCTTGCGCACCAGGCGTACCCGCATAAGCGTCGGAATCGCTGGATGTGTCTGACTTCGAAGATCGATATTTTTTCTTTTTCCTGCTCTTGTCGGGCGTGTCCTCCAGACCTTCAATGTGATCAAGCTTTTGCTATAGAAACAATGAGCCTTGCACATTAGCAAGCAGATGTCACTGGAATCACCTGAGGGAATATAGCAGCCGCCTTCCTGCGAGCGCCTCTGCCTGTGACTTCGGTTACCTGCTCCGCACCTTTCGCAGCGGCTATCCGCTCAAGTGCTAGGGCCCAAGAATCGCCCTGTTCCGTATCCTGAACATCCTCTTGGATCTCCTCCATGGTATCCTTGTCTGCCGCCCATACCTTGGCAAACGCGAAGGAGAGCCCAGCCTCCTTGGTGGCTGCCTGTTGATCACCTTCTACTTCAGTCTTCTCGATGAGTTTCTCAACGTCATTGTCGACGTCTAACATGAAATTTGAGCCCAACATTCGTCTAACGGCGGCAATGCTGTACGCACAAGTTATGTCCTTCGAAGATTGATCTCCTCCTCCTTCTTCTTCTTCAAACAGGGCTTTAGCTCCAAACGTGAGAATCGACTGAAGATCTTCGCCAGCACCGTCGTCGTCATCCATCTTCTGAACAATTAAATGATCGAGAACAAGCTTCTTCTTCCCCATTAGCATGATTCGTTCTAAAATGCCCTGTGAGTGCCAACAGACAACAATACGCGTGGTGATTCATGCCTTCAGCTGAATTCTTGACCATGAACTTAAACACCAAGCATGTCTTCGTCTGTCCATACCGGTGAGAGCGAGCTATGGCCTGAAATATGACATTACAAAAGTTAAAAGCCTAACGGGAATCATGCCGTACCTGCAAGTCCTAGAATGCCAGATCTAAGTTAGGGCAGCCAATCTAAATAGATCTGGCCATACACACCTGGTGAGGGTTGAAATCAGGATCAAATATGATGACCGTATCTGCAGTATACAAGTTGATTCCGACGCCGCCCGCTCGAGTACTGAGCATGTAGATAAAAACATCCGAGTTAGGTTTGTTAAACTCGTCCATGCCCTTTTGGCGATCGGCCTGTTTGGTGTTTCCGTCCTAGAAAGGGTCAAGGTCGCCATTTGCATTCAATACGGGCATGAATAATTACCAGGCGCAAGTACTTGTAGCCTTCACCTCTCACGAAGTCCTCGATAATATCAAGCGCCATAACAAACTATGGAACATAGGTCATCAGATTAACCTACCAGACAGTGTTCCACTCACCTGACTAAACAATAGTATACGATGACCTCTGGCCTGAAGTTTAGGCAAAAGCATCTTCAAAAACCGCAATTTAGTGCTAGCACCTATCAGTCTCTCGTGAGCCTCTGCAACGGTAAGGTTGCGAGGCTCGATATCCTCAGAATTAAGATATGGATGTTGCAGGCATCTACATAGGGATGAGTACCAAATATCAACGACTAGGCAGTGGTAAGCTAACTTGCGAAGTTGCATCAACATATTATTCAAATTGGCCTTGCCAACCAAGGGTTTTCCTGCTTTGGTAGTCGCAGCCTGGGTTAGACTTCGGAGAATGTCCAAGTTTTGACCTACAGAACGATAGTCAGCGTATGACAAGGTAAAGCCACCATGGAAACGTACTCAGGATAGACCTATATATTTCCTTCTGCAGAGGAGCCATGGAGAGGGGAACGATGACCTCGTTCTAGAGAATGTAAGAATACAACCGAACTCATTAGGCCAAACAAACCTTAGGGGGAAGTTGTAAAACCTCGCTCTTGATGCGCCGCAAGAAATAAGGCTTGAGTCTAATATGCAGCTGTCGCACCAGTTCCTCATTCAGCTCTTCATGCTCTTTCTCCAAGGCCTCAAGGTCACTCCATTCTTCGGGATCGAGGAAGTTCATGAGGTTGAAGAGCTCACGAATATTGTTGTTCAGAGGTGTCTACAACGAAGTTAGTCGCTGATTGTCATGCAATCGCGGAGGTATCTTACTCCAGTCATGATCACGCGATGAATTGAATTCAGCTCGTTAAGTTTTTTGAACAATAGACTATGATCGCTCTTCACTGAACCGGAGTCAGCGATATTGTTCATCATTAATACTGGGTAACTTACAGCGTTGTCCTTCGTCCACAACAAGGACTTCCCAACGCGGAATGCTCTTGAACACCGAGTTGAAATCCCTGGGGTTGACGAGGGTTTCATAAGTGGTCACCATCACATGGTACTTGGGTTCCGGACCACCCTTTCGATCAGAGGGATGGAACAACTCATATTGAATGATGATGTCCCGAGCCTTCGCTTCCCCATAGAACGGTACTACTCGTAACTTTGGTGCCCAACGAGTAAATTCCCGAACCCAGTTTGTGATGGTAGAGTTGGGAACGACGACAAGTGCAGGAGCTCCTTGCCATTTATCGATGATAGCCCCGAGGAAAGTCACGATCTGGACTGTCTTACCCTGTGTAAAGTTGAACATGAGTAAGGAGGAATGATGTTTACTGATGGGCGTACCAGTCCCATCTCATCGGCAAGGATGCAAGGTTGCAAGTTCCACCAATTGTCACAGAGCCAATCAAAGCCATCCATCTGGAAGATCATTAGCATGCCAGCCGGACCGAGAACGCTGAAGAGCAAACCTGGAATGGCAGAAGTTGTAGTTGACTGTTCTGACCAAGCTTAGGTTGACGTTTCTGACGAAGGGCGTGCTGTGCATATCCATCCTTCACTCTGTTCTCCAGCTTCTTGACATCTTTGTCCGATTTTCGAACGAAAATTTTCTGCGAGTCTATAAAGCGTTGGAAAGCTGCCTTGAATGCTAAGTAACCAGGCTCGTCAGGGCGGGGGGGAGAATCCCAGGTTGCTATTTCGCTAATTGAGTCGCACAGCGACAAGCCGGAAGAAATATTCACCTTCATTATAGCCCAGATCATCCCATTTGATAAATGCCCATGCGATATACTTGATGTCTTTGATGTCCAGCTCCGACTTATCGACAGTGCTCAAGAAATCATCTACATTCTCCATACAGTCATCATTAGGTTGTTCACCTCTCGACTGCGTTTTCACCAGCTGATCCTGGAGCTCCAGCGGCAAATTCAATTCCTCGTCGCTCTCCACGACCGAGTTCCTTTTACCTTTCTTTCCACGCCCTGACCGGTTGATTGTCCAGAAAAGTACGTCCAGCACACGATCTGTGGTTTTCCATGCAGGGGGAATATGACGTTCTGCATCTGGCAAAGGTCGTAGAGACGATACCGACCTGGACTTGGCCTCGACCTCAGGAGTCTGACTGGCATTGGCCTCCAATGACACCGGCTGAACTGGTATCTCATTCGCGGAAGAGTCGACCAGCATCGTATCTTGTTCTGGAGCAGGGTTATCCAACAATTCTACTTTGGGCCCGGTCGCAATGAAATTTTTGAGTTTCATATATGTTGTAGATGCCAACCACATGTGTGGAACCCATTGAGTGCGCCGATAACTTCGTTCGTTCCATTTCACAAGGTACTCCCGAGGCAGCATGCTCTTTGGATCTGGAGAGTTCGCGGGTGAGTATTGTGGTTCAACGGCGTTGGGAGGATATGGACGCCATGCAAGAATCTTGTCTACGGTGTACTCATACGAGAAGCAATCCGCACAACGCCATCCAGTCTCGAGTTGATAGAAGGATGCAAGCTTGATCTCGTCAAGAGAAGCCGGGTCATCAGGTTCGAAGGTATCTGGGATAGGAAGATGACGATAATGGGCGAGACGCTTGCAGGTGAAGCATCGGTAAACAAGCTCTCTTGCAGGGCTTGATCCACTGTCAGCGACATTCTGCGCAACGTCAACCATTTCGACATCCTGAGTGAGCCCCGCAGGTTTAGGTTCCGAAACGGCGGGCGGTGCGGCAGGCTGTCTCGTGATGGTTGAATCGGCTTCTAGAGCAATCTCCTTGCAGCCCATACAAATTCCGCCCTTCATGCAGTTGGCACATATGAACTCCGTAGTCTGCACAATGTCGAGCTCCTTGCGATTTGGAAGTTCGGAGTCTGGAGGGTTGTGACCATCGTAACCATCTGGCTGTTGACTCTTCCATTCCTCTTTATCGCGCGCACGCGCTGCACGGGTAATCTCATCTTTCTGGGTCTTTGCGAGACACCGCCAATGAACTGCAATAGGACACTTTAGGCTGTGTTTTGAACATCAGTATTCAAGTGAGAGTTGAGTCAGTTTGATCATACATACCATCGAACCCAACCACCCAAGGACTGAATGAGATCATCCTCGTTCCCCTCGAACCCATAGTCATCTTCCTTATGAATCTTTTTCCTGCCTTTCTTCGGCTTTTCCAACTGCACATGAGCAGGAGCTTTGTGGCACTTCTCGCAAATGTCTCGATGAGCGCGTAGCAATTCCGTATCCTCCTCATAGGCATCAAAGTCAAGATCCGCAACAGAACGAAAGATGCCATAAGCAGGTCGGGAAACAGGTCCCCGTTTGAGTCGCCTTTGAGGTTTCGCGGCTGACTTGAACTTTCCAGCCCTCTTGTAAGTTGCCATGTACGATTCGTCATTGCTTTCACTGTCACTAGCCTCTTCAACGTAATCCTCTGCGAGGTTAGTTTTTGCGTTCTTGCGCTCACGAGTGGACCTGCGAGCGGGAATGACATCTATGACGTCCTCCTGCTCGTATCCTGCTAATTCATCCTCCGATTCGCTCATATACCGGCGAACACGCCTGCTGCGTAACTTTTTGGGACTGAAAGGAAGCTTTGATTGAGTTGTAGCACGTGACATGCCTTTGCCCTTAGCAGCTACAGCTCGGACAGGCCTAGAATTGGCTTTGCGGGTGGGTATGCTCTGTTCCTGGCGGTATTCGTCTTCGCTCTGGTCATCCTCTTGCTGATCAGATTCAGAAGGTTCCGTAAGATCAGACAGGGAGGCCAAAGACGACGTATATTCCCGCGCCCTTGTGCTCCGGGCAACACCATTGACCATGTCTATGGTGATGATAGTCCTGATGCGAGAATCCTCGTGCACCGCGCTAGAGGATGGGTCAAACTCTCCGAGTTCTCCATTATCTTTCTTTTGATCTGCAAATACAAATCATGAGACACGCGTTATACACGCCACTAAAGTGGAAACTGGCCGTATTCCTCAACCAGGTCGGCATATTCGGCCTGGAAGTCACTAGCAGGAAGCTATATAAGTTACACATTAAATCTGCAAAAAGGTTTTAGGCAAGCGATGCGTACTCTATATGCTAGCCCATCCTTGAAACGCACAAAGTAGGACAAGTGGGTGCCTTCGTAGTGTTCGCCTACTACAGCGTCAATATCATCCCTGTCGAAGGTAACGCCTTCTTTGAACTCTTCAGGAACAGGTTTATACTGCTGCCTCTGCAATTCAGACAAGACAGGAGGCTCTATGAAAAAGGACGCTTTGGGGCGCGTCTTGGGAGCCATCGGAATGTTGGTGGACGCGACGCTATCACTAGTAGGTGGTGCATCAGGAGAACTGGATTTTGGTGGAGTAAAAAGTAAAAGAGGATCAGAGCTTGGAGAAGACATGTTGGGAATGTCTCTCAAAAAGTGCCGTTTCCACTTTGAACCCGAGTGCGTAGACACGCTCCGTCACAGAAATGAATGAGTTTACAGCAAGACGCGTGTGATTTGTCAGCTCGCGTCTTCGCGTTTTCTCCCAGATGAAGAGGCTTACTAATTGGGCAACGCTACTAGCGTCTTCTCATGAAACATCGACAGCAGGCAATTGCATCAGTATACAGAAGCTATATTCGTGAGATTAGACGATTGCCGCATGCTTACCTTCGGTGAGGCTCATCCTCGGATCAGTATGAGCACTGTTAATAGCCCGTAGTCAAGTTTTCCGTCTGAAGGCAGAGGATGGCTGCCGCGCTGCGCTGTTGACCGAATGTGATGATCGCAGGACGGGGAAGCTGAAGAGAGTTTCAAAGGCGAGGCTATTTTCGCCCAATACCAATTTTCATCTTATTTCTGGTTAGACCATACAACAACTCCGTGCAGCAAATAATGGCAACCACCAGGCCTTTAATCGTATCCTGGACCTTGCCTACGGACGAGTAGGGAGGCTGAGGTGGGAATTGATGGAGGTGATGAGTTCAAGTGTCCGTTTGCATTGCTCGTGATCGCCTGATAACGTTCCGATAGCCCTTACTGTCTGACCCAAACGCACCACTTCCTCCACCAATCATCCCCAGCAAAGAATCCTCGCGCCCTCCCATATACTCCCAAGAGCTTACCGCACTTCTCACATCGGGTCTGTCCCGCAGGAAGAGACCTTTGGTACCTGGCGACCTCAGCTTCCCGCCAATACTTCCCGAACGTGCAGACCCTAATTCATCTGATGCCCAGATACTAGGTCCTTTTAGTAAGCGCCGGGAAGTAAACGCTCGCTGGAAGTACTTTGGACAAGAGTGGAAGAAAGTGCTCCCACCTCTCCAGATCTCCGTTTTACCTTCTCCTCGAAAAGTCGGCGACCAAGGCAGCGACTTAGGCACTCCGACTGCTGTCAGGAAAATAGGCTTTGGCGGTACCACTGTCCTCGAGGAGCTGGTTCAATTAACAACAAAGCCGAAGGATACATCTGGTGCTTTCCTTCAGAGACGATGGTTGCGTAGGAGATACCAGGAGTTGTTGGGAAGGCTACCCATCCTTACATTCATCTCAGCGCAGACCAAGAAGCCTGGCGGCTTCTCGGTGTCATTGGCACCGAATGCGCTGAAGGCACGTAGTCAAGGGAGATCATTACCGTGCGCAACAGACGAAGATGTAGCATGGAATCAAAAAGTATCCAGCGAGCATGTAAGGCACTAGCCGGAAGCCGTGATCATCAGGAAATCACAATCCACGAGCAATCGCAGAGCGACGTCATTAACAAATGGTCGGGGAACTTTCAGTAGCTCGGTGCAACGGATCTCCAGCGCGATCTACTCCGTGTGGCAATTTTGCAAGTATGGAGGGGATATATTACCCACAAGGTACTAGTTATAAATATACAAACATAACTAGATGCTCGAAGTCTGAATGAACCTCAACTGATGTCTGCGGAACTCTCCAGTTCCAAGCCGTGTAGGTCAATAAGATACCTGCTATAATTGTGGTCTGCGGCTTTAACTGCTCCAGCTTCGCCAATTGACTGATCCACCCCACACTGAAGATTGAGTATGGTCTTATACTCATCGAAGGTGAAATTTTGGTGTTGACGGATACTGTCGAGTAAACCCTGGTTCGACTCATAAGCAGTTTGTCCCGAACATGCAAAGATGGAAGTGTACCTGAGGTGTCAGGAAGAAGAGTGAATAATAACTCTTCGCGCGCTCAAACTCGGCATGCTGCTGGTCGTCGCCGATAGTCCGTACGCTCTGCTGCAGTGCGAGAGTGTTTCGTATGATCTTCCTGATACCAAAACCATTCGCCATGCGCACATGTCGAGCATTAGAAATAAGGAGTTGTTCCATTAAATGTTCAAGTCCAGCAAAGACAAATCTGCGAGAGGTGAGAGAATTACTTATGTGAGGTGAGGGACAGATATTTACCGGTGCTCCTCCTTCAGCATCGCTGCTGACACAAACTCGTTACAATTGCTAATTTCGGTGTTAAGGTCCACGATGTACGGGTCAGGCTCGCCAGCTTCATGGTCGATATTGTAATTACCCTGCAATCAATTAGTAGGATGATAGGTGTATATGCAATTTAACACCAACAAGACGCATGGCTGCATCCAAATAGTGCATTGTTCGGCAGCGAATGTCGATCCTAATGGTATGCAGAATAATCTCGGCCAGTTGGGAGTACGTCTTAAGCAAAGCACTGAACCGCCTAGATATATATATAAGCACGATGGTTAACGTCATGATCAGCACACCCACATTGCCATTTCTCGCGAAAGGGGAAGGCTAAGTTGTTCGTCATAAGTGCCCTGCGACAAAAAGGTAGAGATTGCCGAAGGAGTGAACAGCATCACAACATTGGCGGACCCCAGTGCCACAGGTGTAGTCGGCGAGAGTGTGCCGTCTGGAGTTGACTTCAGCGCATTCAGCTCTTCTGTGAACCATGCCTACAGATCAATTGAATCAATGTAAGAAATTCATACATCCTGTGCAACTGACCACACTACGGTAAAGACCACACAGACCCGCCAAGTTGCGAGTTGAAGAAACCAAGTCATGCTTGGCTATCTGAGCTTGACCGAGGTAATTCAGTTCCAGATGTGTTTCCTGTCGACTAAGCTGTCGCCTGATCACATTATTTGAATGCTGCAACACAACTGTCAGTTTCACCAACATCTAAAATGTGCGATACGCACGGGTGTTGCGAAGAGCTCTGTTAAACATGGAATCAATTCCGATTTTTGTGCCCACTGAGCTGCCAACACGAGATGTGATGTGTCAGGGATGTTAGTTATTGAAGAAACCAGGTCTTGGAACTTGTCACTACAGCGCTGATAAAATTGAATGATTACCCCAACAATCAGACGAGAATAACTCTCTCGATGGAACGGAGTTGTGCGGAGCATCGCGCATAACGAGTTTATCAGTGCCATAAGCTGTGTAGTTGCCTGGATAACCATGCATCAATGATCAATGTTATAGCATAGCATCCACGAAAGCACGAACTCTGAATATTGGTTTTGGACTAAATCGGGATGACATCTGGTCATATTGGAAAGCATCAGGACCTAGTGGGACTGTGAGTAAGATTAGGTGACATGAGAGAAATCGACTAACTTGTCACTGCGTGATGGAAAAGTTCAGAGATGCGCTCTTCCAACTGTGGCAGATAAACTTTGAGGACAAAGTCATCCAGTACACCACTTGCAGAGCGAGCGCTTTCCACACCATCCGGGAGAATTTCGGCGACACGGTTCAAGAAAGCAAGAGTGGGTTGGAAAAGTACGCTAACATGGAATGCATCCGGCTTGATCAGCAAACGATGATGCTGCCCAACACCTAATAGACGGTCGTCTGTACCAACTGTCGACAGCGTTGCCTGGACAGCACTATCGGAAGAATTTTGCACAAGACCGGGCATGGTATCTCGAAGGACCCGAGTGAGCTCGTCCTCGTGACGTCGAAGGACTTTGCCCGTGGATTTCATGTCAGTATCCGCAAATCGGAATACGGGCTGTAAGTAAATTATCAGTGTGAGAAATGCAACAGTACTCTGCACGGACCTTTTGTTTGTCCCTCGTAAACCGACCTTCTCGTAGAACCTCATTGATAGACGATATTGGATTTCGCCCCGCCACTGATCCTTGTTCCTCGTCGGTTAAATAGTCATGCAAGAGCGCCCGAACCTGTAACCCACTTGATATGTTAATCATAAAATGATTGCGCTACATACCTCAGCTTGTACTGGTAACCATACATCGGCGAGTGGAAACAAAGCTCCCGGTTTGGCACCGGACGAGTCCTTGAAGTCTTTTCGCTGAGGGAATACAGGTCAGTATGAATCTCTTTTGCAAGATAAAATATAACATACCGATCCTATACGATTAGCAACCTCATAAACTACCCTTAATCCCTGGGTTACTGCATCAAGCTTGGAATAAACAGTCCAAAAGAAGTCCTTCAATGTTTCCTGATCGACTTGTTTCGTGGAAGACTCTAGTGCTGCAAGACGTAGGGAAAAGGTCCGGAGGAGAACACCTTTTGCTGGCATCGAAGGAACAACACCATCTGGAGTGATGCCGACAGAATCATTAGCAACGAAAATATATCCACCCTCTGACCGTCTTCCTAGGCTAGCTGCGCCGAACAGAGAAACTCTCTTGGACTCTTCTGTTCTTTCCTCAACTTCGTCCAAGGTACACTCGACCAATGAGTATATCTCGCCTTGCAAACGCTGTGCGACAATATCGAGCGCACTCCCAAGCTTTCCCAAGACTGCAAGAGACTCCAGTAGAGTTTCGATGTAGGCAAAGGAGTCACCTTCCGGGTTTGCATCAAGCTGAGGTGCCTGAGTTGCAAGCGCAACAAGATTAAGATTCGACGAAGAAGACGGAGCAGATGGAAGAGATGAGGAAGACAAATCCTGAACAGATGCATTGCTGCGAAAGTTCGATTCGCTGAGATCATGGGGAGGGTCGTTTGGTCGGAGTGCAAGAGAGTTGAGAAAGCGAGATAATCGGGAAGATGCAAGTTTCAGTGAAGACGATTCAGGAGAAGGATATGCAATGCCATTCGGAGACGGTTGTCCACTTGATTCATTCTCAAATTCAACCTTGGGAACTTCGAAGACAAGTCAAGGCGAGAGTTGCACAAATTGGGATGACTTACAGGCTGTCTGATTCGGCTTAAAGGCAGCCCACCGCGACTCACACCAGAAGGATTTGAGATAAAGATGGTTGTGAAGTTCGTCGATCAATATTTCTCGTAGAGCCTGCTAAGTGATAAGATGTTGCGTGTCGCTAAGTAATTGACAAACGCACATTTTCCTGACCAATGAGATAACTTCGCAGATCTGAAACTGCTCCAATCTCTTGCATGTCGGGTTTGTTGATCAACTTGAGGCTCCGCACAAGGAGAACTGATGCTTGAAGTAACCTTTTCTCCGACATGAGGGTCTCGAGTGCGTCGGGCACCGATTTCAGATGCTCGCTTCATAGATCGATAGTTAATAGGTGAATCAATTGGCATATTAAAAGAAACTGACATCTGATCCAACAAGCGCATCATCTCTTCTAACACCTGTCCTCTTGACCACAATTGAACAAGATCGGCGCGCTTATTTCCCAAAGCTTCCTTCGCTTCCATAAGAGCTGTCTTCGACTGCTTTATTTGTGTCTGGGTAAGTCCAAGGTGATTGAGAAGAGCGGCGTGATGCGGAAGTGCATCCGCAAACGCCTTGTGGTGCTCTAAGTACAAACATTATTGATAAGGACACGAGTGCAGAGCTCGGGGCTTACTGTCTACTGATCCTTTTAATGCATGGGAAAGCATTACCTTGGTTTGTCGAAAAGACTCGATGCCTTTGCCTGTCGAAGAGTCATCGACTAGTGACAAAGCCAAGTCGACGTTGTTAAACTGCAACGATTGCAAGGTCATATCGCTCAGCTACTGGTTGACAGTAGAATCCACGCCTTACATCAGGGTCAATGACAAACTCCCATTCGTCCTTGATCTGGTCAAGCACAGCTACAACGCAATGTTAGCATACGATTAAACAACTAAGACATAAAGTTAGGCAGGTTCTGACGATTAGACTCCTCACCGTCGATATCTCCTGCTTTAGCCTTCCCGGTTGCTTTCCGGTATGGCATTCGCTCGCGGATGCGCTCTTGCCTCCTCATCTCCAACTCCTTCTCCCTCTGCCTTTCTTGTTCATATGCTGTATCTTCGTTACCATTTGTTATCGCACGTTTACGAGCTCCAGCTTCCCTGAAGGCAGCCATGACGGAAGCTAGTGCAGGGGTTGTCGGGGAAGTCTCATCATGAGCGCTAGATCGCGAAATGTCCACCCGGGGCCTATTATCTGCAGTGCCTATACTTCCGTTATGGTATTGCGGCGCAGCTGACGAATCCGAGCGCGTTGTGCTGGAACTATCTCTACGGTCTCTTGCCGCGTGATCTTCAAGTTGGGTTGCTCGAGATGAAGTGGAGGCTCGCTCCGAATATTCAGATACCTGACGCGGTCTCAGCTCTGATCTTTGTGGGCGTAGAGGACCCTTTGGTGATGAAAAACCTGAGCCCTTGGGTGATGAGGAGGCAAACGTGTTGTTGCTGGGGGCTGCCTGACGTGATGGCGGGCGCGCGATCTGCAACGGTCTAGTGGTCGGATAAGAACCGTTTGAGTTGTTCAGTGAGGGAACGCCTGTCGGTTCGACAGGAAAGGTCGGTATTCGAGACATCTGAGCTGTATGACCGCGAGCCAGAAACGCTTGTTTTAACCAAATACGGCCCAAAAACTATTACTCACCATTTTCAGACTCGACAACGGTTTACTAAGTTACTACTATAAACACTGACGACGGTCTACTAATTCTAGCTGGTATAGTGCTTACCGCTAATTCTGGCTGCCAACAAGGTGACGCGGCCTTTGACTTAGAATATAACCTGAAACGTTACGAACCTTCACAGCAAATCTCAGTGAACCCTGCCAGTGACTCGGAATTAGCTCAGGTGTATGCAGCATGACCCACGACACCAAAACCAGTTTACCCCCATTTCTAGAATCCCTAGCACCAGATTCCAGCGTTCCATATATAAATGCTCTTTGTCCTGCCAGTGATGATATACCACCTGTACATGTGCACTGGTGGCCTTGCAAACGAGTAGGTGTGTCACCCTCCACAATTCTGCTCTTTATACCAGGTAGGTTCAATATAGCACTTCCACCCGAGCTTATTTTGGACGACTACAGGAAATCCTGGAATGATTGACTTTTATCATCCATTTCTCACTGCAATACACAACCAGGACAGGTCTGGGACACTGGCGATACTGTCGCATTCGCATATCGGACATGACCCTGCTGCGCCGGCAAGCCACACTCCATTTAATCATACGTTGCCGTTTCAGATACAAAATTCCCTTCGAATTTTTGATGTTATGAGCCTCTCTTTTGGTGCCAATACACGTACCGTGATCGCTGGCCACAGCGTTGGTTCATGGGTAGCTCTGCAGGTACCGTTTCCGAAGTGTCCCACTGTGTTGCCTCTCCAATGCTCTTTGAAAGGTCTTGAAACTACGATCCACTGCCGTTGCAGGGGTTTTCTTCCTTTTCCCGACTCTCACAGACATTGCTTGTACACCGAATGGTCGACTCTTGTCGGTTGGTAGTTGAATTTTGGTAGTAGTCATACTCACGATTCCTGTCTTCTCTCAGCGATTGTTTCGGCCTCCGTTTCCGCGCATTGTATCACAGGTTGCTCGGTTATTGCGTCTTATGCCCCTAACCATCCTTTGTCGGTTGTTTCCACAATACCCGATCTCCCAAGCTCGCGTCCTTCAGTCATTTCTGCTATCTCCTTCGTCGATATTTGCGGCGATGACGATGGCACACGATGAAATGCTCAGCATCAGAGAACTGGACGTTGCCACCTTGGACACATATCGACATCAGATTTGGTTTTACTTCGCAGAGACCGATGACTGGGTTGACCAAGGAAGAGAAACGATTCTCCAGGTCTTCAAGGCAGATCCTGGCACTGTGAAAGTCGTGCACGGACACTACGAGATCCCGCATGCGTTCTGCATCAGTGTGTCCTTGTATTCAATTTTCTGTACTATTTTGGTACTGATTGTGATCGATAAACCATAGTGAAGAACTAGCAGCGGAGTGCTATGAGTGGCTCGTTTCTGGGGGATTTGTATGACATTAGACGCACTGCCACTTTTACCCTTAACCACCAATTATATATTGCGCTGTTTATCACGCCGTTCTGCAGTTCTCTTCCATTTTGCTTTCATTGATAAATACATATTGAGCTACAGTTGCAGCAAAGTTGCAGTACTACCAGCAATGTTGTTATTAACCTGGGTTATAACGTGTACTATCCCTTCCGGTGCAATTGGTACCCCACAGAAGTGGGTAGTCATGCAAATGTCACTGTAAGTCAAAGTGAGCTCGAGAGTCAAGCAAGAGCGCAAGTTCAGTCTGTATTCGGCGTAATAGATATGTCTACTCAAGTACGAGGGTGCTGGTTGTACAAAGGAGGGGAGTATATGCATGGCCCGGCTTGAAGCCGGGCCTGATCCGAGCCAAACCGGACGTCGGAGCTCACACCAGCAATATCCGCTGACGTAATCTTACCAAGCAGTATCGCGGGCGGGGGCCGCAGCGTAGCGCCGTCCGATCTTACCACTCCTGCACTTCACGGATCCCTCGTAGTATACTTTCGCATATTTGCCTTGTTTCTATGGGCACTGGTCTGGATGTTTGGTGATGAACCAGATTCCAAAGCCTGATACTAGAAGTTCAGGCTCAGGGTGAGGTCGATCTTCCGACTCGGAACAGCACTTCACTGGCAGCACTTATTTTGACTGTCTTTTGGTATTTTTAATCAATAAAATGACAAGGGGACACCATAATATATGCCATTTAGTATATTACTTACCTTTAAGCAATGGCTATTAATTGAGTACACCAAAGACATGGTGTAAAAATTCGTGCAGCATCATGACAGGATTGACTCGGATGATTCTTGTTTGCCTATTAAATGATCAATAGAATGAAATACGGTGGTGAATCAATTTGGTAGAGGGGGGCACTGTGCATTAACTACCACTTGATATTTGATCAACATCCCTCTCCTCCTCCCTGGGATTTGATTTATTTAATTTTTCGTGAATCACCGACGTTCAGTTCATTTCGTTCAAATTCGTTGGCATCAAGAGGCTAAGTAAGTACATACTCAAAAATAGGGACTATAAATACCAAGGATTCACAAAAGCCGCAAAAAAAGAGTAGAGTTTTGAATATATCAACAATAACGTGTTCACAATCAAAAGAAGTGTTGTGTATGATATGATCAGCATAGCCAAATCTCAAAATGTAGAATATCAACGTATTAGACTGTACTTCCTTCTGTGCAGCTTTCTGTCGGTTGGGCCAGCGCAACATTTTCGGGCTTGGACTCCACGACCCGTTCAACATTTACTTGGATCTGCTTCAAGTTGATGGTCAAAGACGGTCAGAATACTTCATGGCAAGTCTACGAACTGTTTTCCCCCGTTTTTCATTTTGAGCCCTCGGAATGTAAGAATTAAGCTGCATCTGCGATTTTGTGATATATATATATGCCAGGTTCGACTGTGATGATGACCATGGCACTTACTACGGGAAATCCGTGTTGCGAGCGCAAAGTCTCAGTTGTATTTTCCCAGTCCTCCGAAAAGACAATCGGCAATGGATGATCGCTCGAAGGATCATATTGCTTTCCATTTCTTATATGCTGCCTGGCATTAAGGCTGCAGCAGAAATTTAGACCTAACTAACGGATACCGCATCAGACATGACAGTTACTCACGTGGCTAAAAGCGAGTTTGCATATACTGCTCCAATAATATCCCCTGGTAGGTGAGATGCATTCGTAAGGATTTAAGATGTCTTACATTTCGCTACAACGAAGTGAAGACCCAGGAATATGAGGTTGCCAGGCATAACCAACCACTGTAATATTTCAGTAACTGAACTTAGCAGAAAAATTACAAGATGCCCACGCAGATCAATGATGCGATGGCAGCAGCACTGCAAGGAAGGCGGTGTCAGGATATGATCGCGGCTCCATTGCATCCAGATTATACCTTGTCATTGATCCATTGCGAATCGTCCAGAGTGTCAGGGTGTCGACGATACGTATGGTGCTATCAAACAAGTAAACACCAGTTCTGCATGGTTTAAAATAATTTACCTTGTAACCACTGTACGATTTTTGCGAAGGAAATAGCACATGAATGCTGCGATCATGATATCCACGAACACTGAAAGTGAAAGGCCCACGGTAAAAATCCACTGCAGAAATATCCAATCGATATATTTGGTAATACAAAGTTGGCCATCACTTACACGTGACAAAGGTTGTTGAACGAATGCGGTATATGATTGTAAGCGGATCCTGAGGGGAACATGCTTCGGTAGCCATCAATGGCATGTTTAAACACTGCTCACATCATGCCCATCGAAACTATTTGATGAGATGCGCGTAATCAGAAGAGCTACAAATGATGGTGTTTAATAACTTACCATTAGCCGCAACTGAAGCAGAATGTCAGCATTAGCACACGTAGTAGTTGATTCGCTAAGCACTGACATAAACGAAAGAAAGCAAGTGTAACCTGACATGAAGATTAGTACATCATCAAGTAAAAAACACTTGAACATGAACTCACAATTGGGACCGCTACAGCAAGTCTCTTCTTTTGTACTTCACATCGACCAACTTTAGTAATGGGGAAATATTATTGAAGAAAGGTACGAACGTCTGTAGATTCGGTATGCAAAAAAACTGAGACGACGAGTGAGGGTAATGTATTAGCTGTCTAACATAACTGACCTTTGGACGAGGAAGGTGATCATAGCCTGGCGAATATTTTGCTTAGAATCAAACAGCTTCACACGTATGAAAACACACAGTAAGCCCGACTGCAGGCTAGAAGGGCCTATATAAGGATAGTCCAATAGGTCTAGATTACTAATACTCACACCAACACTCCTAATAGCACATTAAATTTCCAGCTGATAGTGAATAATGAGACCATGCGTACCAAGGGATATTGTCAGATTCATTCATATTACTGTAGGGCATAATGATGGAATCCCACAGGGCGATTGCCACAAATGCAGAATGACACAAGTCAAGCAGCCTGAAATTATATTGTCGCCGAACTTGTGCAAAAAGTCGCTTGAACGTACCAAGTCGCAATGACCTATGTAGGCAATTAAAAAGTGGAAGCTCATAGAATAATAATTTCCATACCAGAGACTTGGCACGCAAAGACTCGTAAGAGTACAGCCGCCAATACACGAAGAATTGCATGTTTACACAACCCGATAAGCTATGGAGACTTGTGTCAGTCAGGTTGTATATCGAGACTAATCACGCACCCGAAGGCTAGTAAGCCACCGAGGAGGATGGGTCCACAATCCTCAACAACGTTGCTAGACATTGCAAATACGACAAGCGGAGCAGTGGGGTAAGGGGGTCTAGGACACTATGACCTCAAGGTATAAGTAGTTTGCGGTGGTGAGGCGGTGAGAAGGAAGGAGTTGATTTAAAGTAAACATGCACATGAAGGTCATGGTCACCGATACGTCACTATCCTGTGCCCAGCTTCCGATTCGTGCTTCGAGTTCTTGCTTCGGATTCCGGAAAAGCTATATTATAGGCTTCCTATTGCTTCCTGCGGTGTCAAGCTTGAATAAGAGGCACTGGATGTACATACATACTTTCATCACGCCGCAGATTGATGGCCATCAGTAAACCGGTGAAGTTTTGATAAGAGTATGTAACTCAATTGAATAACAAGAATCAACATATTGATTCTGCTATACCGTCAATCCTTCGCAAATGCAAGAAGTTCATTCTCGGTGGGCGCCATAAGATCTGGCCTCGAGGCAGCTATCTATTCGTCGCGATAACTTCACGGTGAAACGAATAACGCCGTGCCAAGACTGCTAGTAACCATAGTTATAAGCACCTGAGCACCAATCAATACCCGCACCTCCATTGAGGGAAAAGCGCTTACTGCCCGAAGACCGCATGATGTATGACCGGAGTTAATCAAGATGGGTATCTGCATAGCACCTGTCATTCTGTAATGCTACAGATAATGATTGTGTTCCCCCGGCCCACCGGGGTTACCGGTTACCCCAAAGCACTGCTGATTGCATAGAAAGAGTCAGTTCCGCTCCGACCATAGAAACGTAACCCCACATAAGCCCTCTAGTTAGAGGTGCTACTAGTATCGCTTAAAGTTCGCGCCTCTAGTTAGTACCGGTTTCACTGATACAGGGTAATTTAGAATTCAGTCCTCCGTGCTCCCGCGACGTGGGCCACGAACGATGTCAACATCCATGAACAGGAGTAACATTGCATTCTTGATCAAAGAATAAGTTGGCCCATTAAGTGCCTGGACGAGCACAGCTGCCACCAAATTGCCCTTAGCGTATTGAGCGCAATGGACTCTTTAACGACGTGCCAATCAATTTACTGCCCCCAGGATGAACTTTGACACCGAGAGTTTCGGTGTCCGTGGAAACACCCAAAGAAGACAGGTCTGCTGGGTCAATCCCACAAGTGCCTTCTACAGTAAAGAGAAGTCTGCTACATGTGTGGTAACCCTGGTGCTCACCGCGTTGTTGATGACATGGTATCGAATCGAGACATCCTATATCGGAGGTGATGCATGTGATATTCGACATAAACCACACCAAGCACGGCAAAAATGATCCCATAATTCAGGGCGGGAATGAGTACAGATACGACGTGGAGGGAACATTGTGTGAGCGTCAATAAGTCAAACGGAACATGAACTGGAAGCTATACTGTTTCGTATCAGGATCCCAATATGACCAGTTCCAATATCCGGCATCGTCAGCTTCGTCTTCTATCTCGCGCGCAGGAATGCGAAAAGCAATTGTCTCATACGGTTCAGCAGCCACCTAACATCCAATAAGCAACGTGTGACTTTGTAAGTAATCGCACCTACGATCAGATACTGGTATGCCTTGTTCGGGGGCTCCCTCTTTTGCTCCCAAGCGCTCATAAATCGTCGGCGAGGGATTACGTCCGCTTTGATCTGGGGAAGGTGGACCTGGACCATCATACCTTCTTTGCCTGTATCTTTGTCCCGCACTTTTGTTACTCGGTAGCCTGGGCGTCCTATTTTGAGGAACACCTTGCGTTGTACATTGCTTTGAGTCGGGGCAATCATCAACTGCGTGTCCTTAGCATCACGAGCCGCACGACGAGCGAGATTGGTCTGATGCTTCTTTCCTTGAGTATGAGCCAGGTATGAACCTTCGTTGGTATGAAGCGTCAGACAGAGACGACATTCGAGGCCACCCAAGTGATTCCTTAAGATATAAGGATCCTAAACGACACATCAAGTTATCGTTGGAGTGCAAGAAAAATAAGAGCGTACTTTGGCAAGATCGATCGTCTCAAGCGCAAGTTTGCGTAAACGTTCACGCCTGTCCACATTGGTCTCCGAAGCCCCAGCGACACCACCTCCACCGAACTTGGAGCCGACACGGTTCTAGAGCAAGGTGAACTTAAATTCTCAAATCACACAAGACATGACTTACTTGAAAATCTAGAAAGATTGATAATCGAGGGATGTCATTAGGGACAAAGAGAGCGACTCACCCATAGTAAGTTTGCGAGTATGATGAGGTGGTTGGAAGAGATGGCTGGTGCTGACATAATCAGCTTCTTGTAATTTCTCGGAGTCGCTCAAAAGTAAGTAACGGGCAAGTTGCAGTTCACCAAACTCGCAGCCGTAGGGAAGATATTTTCAAGCTTCCACTCCATTACGTGTCGAACGGTCAGATACTACGTGCTGCAGTGTTGACACCCCCAATCCGGGCATTTATCAAGAGCATGGCTGGCCAGAAACGTGCCCCAGAGGATAACTCGCCCCGCAATGTCAAAAAGAGTAAATTTATGAAAGACAGGTTAACAGATGTATCGGAAAAACCTGTCCAACTCGTATCCAATCTCATGGACGAAGAGGTTGATTTTCCACGAGGAGGCGGAACTAGCCTAACAGCTGCAGAGGTTAAGACTATCCGAGCTGAAGCTACACAAGAAGCGAACGAGGAGCTATTTGCTGTGAGTTCTGCTCGTCTTACTCCAAATGAGCTTGACAGAGCAGAATTTTTTGTAGGCGTCTGGGAAGTTTCAAAAAAAGAAGAGTAGATCTGATGCCAAAAGCAAGGCGAGTGTTACGTCGAAGAGAGATGTAGTTCGCATCGAGCATCTCAATTACAAGGTAGCTTTCACATCATGAAGCTGGAGAGCAGGGACTCAATCACGCATTTGCAGCGCATTGTTCCGGGTATGAAATTGCTTGGTCAAATCGCATCGATACAACCGCTGGCTCTCATTATATCCCTACCGAACCAGCTCATGGGTCACGTTCCTATCACACAAGTTACATCTCAGTTGACTAATCGTCTCGAATCAATGCATGAACAAGAAGAGCCTTCAGATAACGAATCGGTTGATGATGGGGAATCCGATTCTCAGACGGAGGTGCCGGATTTGTTTCAACTCTTCCATGCGGGACAATACGTCCGTGCAATTGTGACCAATGTGCACGCATCAGGGTCTACGGACGTTTCTGCAATCGGAAAATTAAGGGATGAAGCCGCGAAAGCTAGTCGTCGCATCGAGTTGAGTCTTGTACCCAAGACAGTAAACTCTGGAGTCCTTAAAACAGATCTCAAACCTGGCTTTGTGAGCAATATCTTAGATCACATCATTTTATCATGATTAAGCCTCGCGTAGACACTCTCAGCGGCTGTGCAAAGTGTAGAAGACCATGGGTACATTCTTGACATCGGTGTACAGGGCTCCTCTGGTTTCCTATCCTTTAAAGAGGCCAAAAAAGGTGGTTCCGACTGTTCGAAGCTTCATGTTGGCCAACTGCTCGATATCGCTGTCGTGAAGATGTCCAGCAACGAGAAAATATGTACAGTTTCGGTCGATCCTCAAGTGATACAGTCATCTTCAGTCAGTCTTGCTGATCACGATTTGCGATTTTCCTCACCATATTCCAATTCACAGATCACAGAAGTCAATAATGTCACCTCCATATTGCCAGGAATACTAGGTCAAGCATTGATCACGGGAATGTCACCAAGTGGTATCAATTTACAGATACTTGGTTTTTTCAATGCAACAGCTGACGAGTTCCACGTACCCACTAAACCTGCCAAAGTATTCAAGATAGGGCAGAAAGTGAAGACCCGAATACTGTACGAAATTGCCGGAAGTTCACCGCCGAAGTTTTCTGTGTCGCTCTTGGATCACATTGTCAACTTGAAAGAAAAACTTTCCACTGATGATACTGCCATTCACTTGGCGTATCCCAATGGCACGATCTTGGATGCTATTACTGTGAAACGCGTAGAGCCGGAACGTGGACTCGTCGTTGAAGTGCAGCCTCACCTTGATGGATTCATTCATGTAAGGTTTCACATCATTCTTTATCCAAAAACTAATTCCTTGATAGATATCTCACACATCTGATGGACATGTTCCAATGCTCTCTTCCTCCTCAGGCCCATGGAGATTGAATACCATTCATAGAGCGCGTGTCATAGGCTACCATCCGTTGGACGGATTACTGCAGCTGTCCCTCCGACCCTCAATTTTAGATCAAAGGTTCCTTCAGGCAGGTGATATACAAGTCGGAGAGGTCCTGAAAGGCACTGTCAAACGCCTTACGGATTCTGCCCTATTCGTGTCGATCTCTTGTAATGCGGATGGAATCATATGGCCAAATCACTACGCAGATATACCACTTAAGCATCCATCAAAAAGGTTCAAGGCTGGAGGCAGCATAAAATGCCGAGTACGCAATTGATCATTAGATGTGATGCATGCTAAGGAAATCCACAGGTTCTTGCCGTCGATCCCGAACGCATGAGAGTTGAGTTGACGGCTAAAAAGACGTTGATTGAATCTACTCTACCGGTCCTGACCTCTATTGAGGAGGCGAAAGTCGGGATAATCACAGATGCAGTAGTGTACCGAGTTGTGGACAAAGGCTTGATTGTCCAATTCTACAACGATCTCAAGGCGTTTGTGCCGTCTCGAGAAGCAAGGTTTGTTCAATTTCGTCATTGGTTTTGGTTTTGATTGACGCTTTACTTCGCAGTGACTATTCAAGCAATTTGAAGGACATGTTTATCGCGGGAAGAGTCGTCAAAGTACGAATTTTAACCGTTGACCTGAATCCACCACGAGTTGTCGCAAGCATTCGTCAAGCGTCATTACCAAAAGCTGTCAAGGTGGCCGATACCAGCGACATTATATCAAGTCCTGTCGCAGAGAGTGTAGTAGCGGTCCACAAAACACCGCGCGTTCCGTCACTACGTTCATCTCATGCTCACGAGTCCATCCCTTCAAAGGCACTGGCTAGCAAACGTAGCAGTCCATTGCCACAAGTAAAAGCTGTGCCTACCCAGTCGCAGTCGATGCCGAGATCTCACACTCCCGAACAAGCTGCGCCTTTGAAAGTTGAAGGGTTCTCCTGGTTCCCTGGTGACACCAGGTCTGATGCGGAGTTTGATGAAGCTTCTTCTTCCGACGAAGGCAGCGAAGAGGATGACTCAAGCAAAAAGAAAAGACGCAAGAAGAAAGAGATTGAGCAAGATCTCACCGCTGACATGCACTCAAAGCTTCCAGAATCAAATGCCGACTTTGAGCGGCTCCTCCTGGGCTCCCCAAATTCATCCTATCTGTGGGTGCAGTACATGTCTTTCCTCCTCCAACTATCCGAAATCGATAAAGCAAGGGAGACTGGCCGACGAGCAATTCAGACCATCAGTTTCAGGGAGGAGGAAGAGCGGCTCAACGTTTGGATTGCTTTACTGAATGTCGAAAATGTTTATGGCACAGATGAGTCACTGGAGGCCGTCTTCAAGGATGCTGCTAGACACAACGACTCCAAAACTGTCTATCTCCGTCTTGCGGCCATCCTAGATCAGAGCGAGAAGCATGAGGCAGGTTTGTTACCTCGGCTTCACTACTGTACTAATGACGAGGCACGCAGAAAGCAGAGGATCAGTATAAGCGGACGTGTAAGAAGTTCGGCCACAGTTCAAGAGTGTGGACTTTATTTTGCGAACACTATATGCGCCGCCGAAACTTGGAGCAAGCACGCAAACTATTACCACGTTCACTGCAAAGCTTGGAAAAGCGCAAGCGTGAGTCGTTTGATGGCATTCTTGTATTCAGACTTGAATGAGATGTACAGACTTGAAAACAATATCAAAATTCGCTCAGCTCGAATACAAACTCGGCGATGCGGAACGAGGCAAGACTATATTCGAGGGGATCGTAGACTCTCATCCGAAGCGCTGGGACTTGTGGTCGATTTATATGGATATGGAAGCAGGGCAAGGGGATATTCAATCATTAAGGTAAGCACTCATGCCTCACAAAGTGCCCTCACTATCATAACAGTACGCAGAAACATCTTCAATCGTATATTTGGCATTAAGATGACTAGCCATAAGGCGAAGTACGTGTTCTACCACTTAGTAGAATTGCATGTGCTAATGTCGCATAAAGGTCATTTTTCAAGAAGTGGCTTGAACTGGAGCGGAGGATCGGGGATGAGGAAGGTGCATCGGCTGTCAAGCAGAAGGCAGTCGAGTGGACACAAAAAGCTGCATCTAATTCACAATGAGTCAAACTCGAGATGTCGCAAATGTTGATGCATGTCACAATATATATGGAGAATATTCGATGTCGAACAACGAGGAAGAAATGGAGTAGCGTAGAAGTACGAAACGAAACGAGTGTGAGCATGAGCGGCGGTCAGCAATCAAGGCAATAAGGGTATAACTATATGTGCAAAGCAAAAAAAAAATGTCACAAAAAACAAATGTTACGATCGCGACCGGGTTCGCTCATGTCCTACTAAATGAGAGGGGGATTCGAAGTCGCTGAGCGGTCGCCGGGCACCAAACGAGCTAGCCATCTGTCGCTGCCAATCGTCCAGTTCATTCGACAGGTGCTCAAAATTCTCTGAGCTCGTCATGCTGGATGGTCGTTTGAGAGGTTGATCGACTTCCAGGAGAAGGTGAATTTTGTGCGAAAGTTGTTCGTTTTCCCTTTTGAGGTTGGTGTTTTCGACGGTGAGCTGTTCCAATAAACTGGCGCCACTTCCTTCGCGATATACAGCAAGAGTAGCGTTCATTCTTTCAATCTCCAACTCAAGCTCCTCCACACGAGTTTGGCGTTCGTCAAACTCTCGTTGAGAGATGACGAAGTTATCCTTCATGATGTCGAGATCCTTCTCCAGCGTCTCCATTCTTTGACGGAGATCTTTGTTGTCATTAATTAAACGCTGGCTTTGTTTCTGTGCATCAATCAACTGGCCGCGAAGGTGCTCGTGATTGTCGTCTGAAGGAGTGCTGCGACCGTTGACACCACGTCGCGGTTCAGTACTGGATCGTCCTCGCACAGTGTCCAGTTCCGCTTGCAGACTAGCATAGGCAGTCTTCGTCCTCGTAACCTCATCTTTCATCCTTCGCATCATTTTTTCAGTTCCTCTGCGATGGACAATTAGAGCCAGGACATGCATAGGTACTTGGGGAAAAGCTCACTTTACATAATGCACAGCAAGCTGATAGTCTTCTTCCATCTGGCGCATTCGCGCCTTATAGCTCCGTTC